CTGCTGCCTCATAATATCACCTGCTGCCTCACAATATCAGCTGCTGCCTCACAATATCACGTGCTGCCTCATAATATCACCTGCTGCCTCATAATATCACCTGCTGCCTCATAATATCACCTGCTGCCTCATAATATCACCTGCTGCCTCATAATATCACCTGCTGCCTCACAATATCACGTGCTGCCTCATAATATCACCTGCTGCCTCATAATATCACCTGCTGCCTCATAATATCACCTGCTGCCTCATAATATCACCTGCTGCCTCATAATATCACCTGCTGCCTCATAATATCACGTGCTGTCTCACAATATCACCTGCTGCCTCATAATATCACCTGCTGCCTCATAATATCACCTGCTGCTTCACAATATCACGTGCTGCCTCATAATATCACCTGTTGCCTCACAATATCACGTGCTGCCTCATAATATCACCTGCTGCCTCACAATATCACGTGCTGCCTCACAATATCACCTGCTGCCTCATAATATCACCTGCTGCCTCACAATATCACGTGCTGCCTCATAATATCACCTGCTGCCTCACAATATCACGTGCTGCCTCATAATATCACCTGCTGCCTCACAATATCACGTGCTGCCTCATAATATCACCTGCTGCCTCATAATATCACCTGCTGCCTCATAATATCACCTGCTGCCTCACAATATCAGCTGCTGCCTCATAATATCACCTGCTGCCTCATAATATCACCTGCTGCCTCATAATATCACCTGCTGCCTCATAATATCACCTGCTGCCTCATAATATCACCTGCTGCCTCATAATATCACCTGCTGCCTCATAATATCACCTGCTGCCTCATAATATCACCTGCTGCCTCACAATATCACGTGCTGCCTCATAATATCACCTGCTGCCTCATAATATCACCTGCTGCCTCACAATATCACCTGCTGCCTCACAATATCACCTGCTGCCTCATAATATCACCTGCTGCCTCATAATATCACCTGCTGCCTCACAATATCACCTGCTGCCTCATAATATCACCTGCTGCCTCATAATATCACCTGCTGCCTCACAATATCACCTGCTGCCTCATAATATCACCTGTTGCCTCACAATATCACGTGCTGCCTCACAATATCACGTGCTGCCTCATAATATCACCTGCTGCCTCACAATATCACGTGCTGCCTCATAATATCACCTGCTGCCTCACAATATCACGTGCTGCCTCATAATATCACCTGCTGCCTCACAATATCACGTGCTGCCTCATAATATCACCTGCTGCCTCACAATATCACCTGCTGCCTCATAATATCACCTGCTGCCTCATAATATCACGTGCTGCCTCATAATATCACCTGCTGCCTCATAATATCACCTGCTGCCTCATAATATCACCTGCTGCCTCACAATATCACCTGCTGCCTCATAATATCACCTGCTGCCTCATAATATCACCTGCTGCCTCATAATATCACCTGCTGCCTCATAATATCACCTGCTGCCTCATAATATCACCTGCTGCCTCATAATATCACCTGCTGCCTCACAATATCAGCTGCTGCCTCATAATATCACCTGCTGCCTCATAATATCACCTGCTGCCTCATAATATCACCTGCTGCCTCATAATATCACCTGCTGCCTCACAATATCACGTGCTGCCTCATAATATCACCTGCTGCCTCATAATATCACCTGCTGCCTCACAATATCACGTGCTGCCTCATAATATCACCTGCTGCCTCACAATATCACCTGCTGCCTCATAATATCACCTGCTGCCTCATAATATCACCTGCTGCCTCACAATATCACCTGCTGCCTCATAATATCACCTGCTGCCTCATAATATCACCTGCTGCCTCACAATATCACCTGCTGCCTCATAATATCACCTGCTGCCTCATAATATCACCTGCTGCCTCACAATATCACCTGCTGCCTCATAATATCACCTGCTGCCTCATAATATCACGTGCTGTCTCATAATATCACGTGCTGCCTCATAATATCACCTGCTGCCTCATAATATCACCTGCTGCCTCATAATATCACGTGCTGCCTCATAATATCACGTGCTGCCTCATAATATCACCTGCTGCCTCATTATATCACCTGCTGCCTCATAATATCACCTGCTGCCTCATAATATCACCTGCTGCCTCATAATATCACCTGCTGCCTCATCATATCACGTGCTGCCTCATAATATCACCTGCTGCCTCATAATATCACCTGCTGCCTCATAATATCACCTGCTGCCTCATAATATCACCTGCTGCCTCATAATATCACCTGCTGCCTCATAATATCACGTGTTGTAATCCACAAGTTAGTAGGAATTATTAGCTAGAGGATCATTACTACAACACTTAACGAATGATGATTGAAAGTACATGTAAGTAGACAGACTATGGATCACATATCTAAGAAAGGTCAATGGATTAAGACCGAAGCTATTTAGCCAAATGATTAATTCCTGGAAAGAGGAATTATTCTTCGTCAGGCTTCTAGGAACAAGATTACCTCTCTAGGGATAAGGTTAATCGGATTATACCTTCCTTGAGAGGTGGGGTGAAATGGTTGAGGGAGATGGCTGACTGGAGTCAGTCTGATTGTGGAAGTTGAACGAGCAAGTCCTTTTGGATCCCCGTTTGTGGCAGCAGCGAAGTGTAGCAGACAGCTATGCGAGAGCCTGTTGTGATCTTAGTGACCAAGTTAAGTCTGCAGTATGTGAGTATTGAATGTAAGACTAACCGGGTGTGGAGCGTTGTAGTAATCATTCCGTATTAGGGACTTAGGCGGAAGTTACGAGTGTGTGTGGTGATCGCGGAGGTCAAGTGGTCTATGGGTATTGGAAGTGTATTGACCAATAGAGTATGTTAATTAATATAGTATTATTTGTCAGAGTCTATTCTTTGTAATTAAATGACAAAACCCGACGGCTTTTAAATACCTTCCATATGTTCATTCATTGTGTTCCAGTACAAACCTAGTGGTACGCCTCAAGGGTCTGGTGTGTGTAGGAGTACACGGTGGTAGTAACGGTTGCTGAGGTAAGGTGTTATGTGTTGTGTAATCGCTGTGTTCGGAATGAACCGGGGTTCAGCGTCACGACACACGTGCTGCCTCACAATATCACCTGCTGCCTCATAATATCAACCTACTGCCTCATAATATCAACCTACTGCCTCATAATATCACCTGCTGCCTCACAATATCACCTGCTGCCTCATAATATCAACCTACTGCCTCATAATATCACGTGCTGCCTCATAATATCACGTGCTGCCTCATAATATCAACCTACTGCCTCATAATATCACCTGCTGCCTCACAATATCACCTGCTGCCTCATAATATCAACCTACTGCCTCATAATATCACGTGCTGCCTCATAATATCACGTGCTGCCTCATAATATCATAAGAAAAATAAGTAGAAATAGAAAAGAAGTCTTTGTCAGAGTTTAAAAATGATAAATGTATGTAAAATATCCATGCCTGTAATATTACGATGATTACTTTAACTTTCCAAAGCTGTTCTACTTAAACGAACATGAATTGTAAAAACTCAATAATCACTAAAATGTAATCAATAATTTGTAAATGTATTTACATGCAACATATCAAGATGCTGTTAGAAAACCCGAGCAGTACACACAAAAGTCCTCGGCTATCGTATACTCTAAGGAAACCTTAATTACTTTAGCTGTCCTCTCGTATAGTACTTTGACTTATAAATGCCCAACGTCAAAATATCAGGTACCTAAGGATCAGAGAGGCTGGCAAAATTGACGTGTTGTTAGGTTTTCTATTCGCGGGTCCTTCGTTAGATTAGGTTCGGGTAACTTAGTGCATCATTATTGTGGCAACGGTTGGTATATGCAGATGGAGTTTAAAGATTCAACGAGAAATGTAAATGAATTAGGCATTGTCTTGTCATCTGTAAAGAGGTCAAGGGAGGGCAGAAATAGCCTAAGCTACTCTATCCTTACGAGATGTATTTTATTGTCTCAATAAACGTACTTGAACTTGAAGAGGCCAACCCATGTTGAGAATTTGACGTCAAGAGAAAAATAGCGGCACTTCTAATTGGATTTGTTTTATATACAGTGATTAAGTATTTCAGAAATATGTGGGAATCTAATGAGAATTTTCCCTGAAATTGAAGTGTCTAGGGGAAAGTGTCAAGTTAATTCGGCATTTGTAAATATTCCGTCGGAGTGAATAGGATGGTTGTGTTGTTATGGTAAGGCACTACAGTGTATCACCCAAGGCTCCTGAAGACCTGAAAGTTAAGCAGTCAACCCGTCCCCAGGTCGAGAACTTCTTTCCCCGTACGCCTTATAGTGGCCATTCTTGCTCTCAGGCAGCACTGCCTCTAGGCTGGCAGGACGGATGGCTGCTGGTGCGCTGACAGGACCGCGGGTAGGCTGGCAGGCAGTGGTTAGGCAGGCTGGCTGGCAGTGGTTAGGCAGGCTGGCAGGCAGTGGTTAGGCAGGCTGGCTGGCAGGATGACTGTCAAGGCTGGAATTCCCTAGTGGTACTCCAACCTTGAGTATACCATAAGGATATTGTGTTACAGAGAGGCGTGTGTCTAAGGAAGTACTTTGGGACCTGAGGATGGGTTGTAAGTAGTATAGTGCACCCCTCAGTTCACTTAAGATCTGAGTGATAAGTAGTATGGTGTACTCCTTAATGACCACACACGGGCTGGAACAACTTGTAAATTGATAAGTAGTTTGAGATAGAAATTGCGGTGATGATTTGGCACCATAAACAAGGTGTTGACCAGCTTGAGGTAGCAAATGAGGCAGTGTTTACCAACAAGAAGTAAGAAAAATGGTGGTATTGACCAGCAAGATCAAAATGATGCATTGATGATCAACATAACGACAAATGGGCCAGTTTTAATCACTGAGGCAACAAATTAAGAATTTTTGAATAACGTAAGTCAGAAAATATTCATAATAATTAGGATCAAGTTTATATAATAAGAGCATAGATACCCACCTTCTGGTCGAAAGGAGCCATCTTGCCGCCAGACTTCCAGGGGTTGCTCAGGGAGCTGCCCAGGCCGCTCAAGTTCCAGAAGTTTTTGCCCGGGTCCACCATCAACTTCTCCTTCCCATCCACGTAGAACCTGTAGCAACTTCACCTCTATACTCTGCACGCTCCAGGGATTACAGGCTATTAAAAAAACGATTCTTCGCGGCGGGGATCGTATTCCAGGGACCTGCCCGAAACCCTACGCGTACTAGTGGCTCTACAAGAATGTAACAACTCTTGTATATATATCTCTATGCATGCCCGTGCCACCTCTTGTGTGGCTTAATATTCATCAATCAATCGTCCATGCAATGTGTTTTTTGTACACATAACATGTTCTTTGTTGTCAACACAAGTACAAACACATAACAGTTGATGAAAAACAGAATTACAGATAAACAACTTTAGTTGTTCAGTACATGCACAAGTTCGCAATTTGCTGGACCAGATGCTGCAGGACTGAAGATTAATTCTCACCTCATCTTAAGTCAGTACTGCTGTCTGTCACCTCCACATCATTCTCACCTCATCTTAAGTCAGTACTGCTGTCTGTCACCTCCACATCATTCTCACCTCACCTTAAGTCAGTACTGCTGTCTGTCACCTCCACATCATTCTCACCTCACCTTAAGTCAGTACTGCTGTCTGTCACCTCCACATCATTCTCACCTCATCTTAAGTCAGTACTGCTGTCTGTCACCTCCACATCATTCTCACCTCATCTTAAGTCAGTACTGCTGTCTGTCACCTCCACATCACAATAAATTTCTAAAGACACTGACCTGCTTGCTTGGTGACCTCACTCCTTCAGAGCACGTGGCACCAGTAATAATTACCGCTTTATATAATTTGTTAAACAACTTTTCCAAACTTACCAACACGAACTTGGGTCAAGTTGTTAAGCCACACTACATCTGTGATGTGTGTACACTGTACACTACACCTGTGATGTGTGTACACTGTACACTACATCTGTGATGTGTGTACACTGTACACTACATCTGTGATGTGTGTACACGGTACACTACATCTGTGATGTGTGTACACTGTACGATCAAATATTCCAGCTTTTAAAGTCCCGGAACTCTCAGGTTTACTGTTGCGAGCAAGAGCTCATATTGCTACTATTATAGAGTAGCTCCCACTCTCTGTGGCTGGTGTTCTTAATATGGGCTATTAGGAGCTAGGGTATAACCTTTACACTCTCATTAGTTAAACTTTGCAGTTGTCTTTGTCTCCCCGTCCTTCACACCTTTACCTGTAGAGACTACAGGTAAAGGTAGAGAGATGTAGAGACCTGTAGGAACTTTACCTCCGCCTACTGCTAGGTGAAGACGTGTTCCCTGCGCCTGAGTCAGTGTTAGTACTGGACTCTTCCCCACCAGCAGCTTGTCTTGTTGCTTATCTCCAACATATTATTGCCGAGCCTTATCACCAGACTGTCGGTATTCTCTGATATAAGCTGCCTTATATTACTGCAAATGCTTTATTTGTATATTTTATGAACTGAATATTATTTGATCTGTATAAACAACAGGACATTTGTACAAGAGAATGACTAACAATACAGAACAAAATTCTTGTATCTATACATAATCCTTCAACTATAGATATGTCCTGCTTATATTTAATACACTTTTACCCAAATTAGTAAAAGGAAATATATGATGGCATAATATAAATACCTGGAGAGCACTGAAGCACAGACAAAGACCCACTAAGTAATACCTGGAGAGCACTGAAGCACAGACAAAGACCCACTAAGTAATACCTGGAGAGCACTGAAGCACAGACAAAGACCCACTAAGTAATACCTGGAGAGCACTGAAGCACAGACAAAGACCCACTAAGTAATACCTGGAGAGCACTGAAGCACAGACAAAGACCCACTAAGTAATACGAACTTTAGCCTCTGGAAACACACAGACGCCAGGTCCTGGAGACGGCGCTTTATTGCATGAATATTATTGTAAGATTTCCTACTTAAGTGCATCTAGAAAGCTCAGAATCACTCCTATATTATATCTAGTTACACAGTCTTATAATATATTTATTCCAGGAAAGAATCTTATATTATTACACACAGAAATCACAATTGCGTGATGCATCAAATGAACAAATCCACAAGGGCCGTGATGAGGATTCGAACCTACGACCCAGAGCATCCTAGACGCTGCCTTAATCAAACCTCAGATGTAGGTTCGAATCCTCGTCACGGCCCTTGTGGATTTGTTCTTATATTATTCCAAAAAGGTTTTCACAAAAATATTACGCACTGTCACTATATTATTTAAACTCTACCATTAACCTTTGGTTTGTGTTTCGTGTCCTTCAGTGAGAAGGACACTATTATACCAGCTGCTGGGCGCCAGGGCTCTCATCTGGGATATCCTGCAGCTGCTGGCCACAAGGGCTCTCATCTGGGATATCCTGCAGCTGCTGGCCGCCAGGGCTCTCATCTGGGATATCCAGCAGCTGCTGGCCGCCAGGGCTCTCATCTGGGATATCCTGCAGCTGCTGGGCGCCAGGGCTCTCATCTGGGATATCCTGCAGCTGCTGGGCGCCAGGGCTCTCATCTGGGATATCCTGCAGCTGCTGGCCACAATGGCTCTCATCTGGGATATCCTGCAGCTGCTGGCCGCCAGGGCTCTCATCTGGGATATCCAGCAGCTGCTGGCCGCCAGGGCTCTCATCTGGGATATCCAGCAGCTGCTGGCCGCGAGGGCTCTCATCTGGGATATCCTGCAGCTGCTGGCCGCCAGGGCTCTCATCTGGGATATCCAGCAGCTGCTGGCCGCCAGGGCTCTCATCTGGGATATCCTGCAGCTGCTGGCCGCCAGGGCTCTCATCTGGGATATCCTGCAGCTGCTGGCCGCCAGGGCTCTCATCTGGGATATCCTGCAGCTGCTGGCCGCCAGGGCTCTCATCTGGGATATCCAGCAGCTGCTGGGCGCCAGGGCTCTCATCTGGGATATCCTGCAGCTGCTGGCCGCGAGGGCTCTCATCTGGGATATCCTGCAGCTGCTGGCCGCCAGGGCTCTCATCTGGGATATCCAGCAGTTGCTGGCCGCCAGGGCTCTCATCTGGGATATCCAGCAGCTGCTGGCCGCCAGGGCTCTCATCTGGGATATCCAGCAGCTGCTGGCCGCCAGGGCTCTCATCTGGGATATCCTGCAGCTGCTGGCCGCCAGGGCTCTCATCTGGGATATCCTGCAGCTGCTGGCCGCCAGGGCTCTCATCTGGGATATCCAGCAGCTGCTGGCCGCCAGGGCTCTCATCTGGGATATCCAGCAGCTGCTGGCCGCCAGGGCTCTCATCTGGGATATCCAGCAGCTGCTGGCCGCCAGGGCTCTTATCTGGGATATCCTGCAGCTGCTGGGCGCCAGGGCTCTCATCTGGGATATCCTGCAGCTGCTGGGCGCCAGGGCTCTCATCTGGGATATCCTGCAGCTGCTGGCCGCCAGGGCTCTCATCTGGGATATCCTGCAGCTGCTGGCCGCCAGGGCTCTCATCTGGGATATCCAGCAGCTGCTGGGCGCCAGGGCTCTCATCTGGGATATCCAGCAGCTGCTGGGCGCCAGGGCTCTCATCTGGGATATCCAGCAGCTGCTGGCCGCCAGGGCTCTCATCTGGGATATCCAGCAGCTGCTGGCCGCCAGGGCTCTCATCTGGGATATCCAGCAGCTGCTGGGCGCCAGGGCTCTCATCTGGGATATCCAGCAGCTGCTGGGCGCCAGGGCTCTCATCTGGGATATCCAGCAGCTGCTGGCCGCCAGGGCTCTCATCTGGGATATCCAGCAGCTGCTGGGCGCCAGGGCTCTCATCTGGGATATCCAGCAGCTGCTGGGCGCCAGGGCTCTCATCTGGGATATCCAGCAGCTGCTGGCCGCCAGGGCTCTCATCTGGGATATCCAGCAGCTGCTGGGCGCCAGGGCTCTCATCTGGGATATCCTGCAGCTGCTGGGCGCCAGGGCTCTCATCTGGGATATCCTGCAGCTGCTGGGCGCCAGGGCTCTCATCTGGGATATCCTGCAGCTGCTGGCCACAAGGGCTCTCATCTGGGATATCCTGCAGCTGCTGGCCGCCAGGGCTCTCATCTGGGATATCCTGCAGCTGCTGGGCGCCAGGGCTCTCATCTGGGATATCCTGCAGCTGCTCGTGACCTCCGGTCACGAGGTCTGTCGTCTGGTGTCCGGTCACCAGGTCTGTCGTCTGGTGTCCGGTCACCAGGTCTGTCGTCTGGGGTCCGGTCACCAGGTCTGTCGTCTGGTGTCCGGTCACAAGGTCTGTCGTCTGGGGTCCGGTCACCAGGTCTGTCGTCTAGTGTCCGGTCACCAGGTCTGTCGTCTGGTGTCCGGTCACCAGGTCTGTCGTCTGGTGTCCGGTCACCAGGTCTGTCGTCTAGTGTCCGGTCACCAGGTCTGTCGTCTGGTGTCCGGTCACCAGGTCTGTCGTCTAGTGTCCGGTCACCAGGTCTGTCGTCTAGTGTCCGGTCACCAGGTCTGTCGTCTGGTGTCCGGTCACCAGGTCTGTCGTCTGGTGTCCGGTCACCAGGTCTGTCGTCTGGTGTCCGGTCACCAGGTCTGTCGTCTGGTGTCCGGTCACCAGGTCTGCCGTCTGGTGTCCGGTCACCAGGTCTGGTGTCCGGTCACCAGGTCTGCCGTCTGGTGTCCGGTCACCAGGTCTGTCGTCTAGTGTCCGGTCACCAGGTCTGTCGTCTGGTGTCCGGTCACCAGGTCTGTCGTCTAGTGTCCGGTCACCAGGTCTGTCGTCTAGTGTCCGGTCACCAGGTCTGTCGTCTGGTGTCCGGTCACCAGGTCTGTCGTCTGGTGTCCGGTCACCAGGTCTGTCGTCTGGTGTCCGGTCACCAGGTCTGCCGTCTGGTGTCCGGTCACCAGGTCTGGTGTCCGGTCACCAGGTCTGCCGTCTGGTGTCCGGTCACCAGGTCTGTCGTCTGGTGTCCGGTCACCAGGTCTGTCGTCTGGTGTCCGGTCACCAGGTCTGTCGTCTGGTGTCCGGTCACCAGGTCTGGTGTCCGGTCACCAGGTCTGTCGTCTGGTGTCCGGTCACCAGGTCTGTCGTCTGGTGTCCGGTCACCAGGTCTGCCGTCTGGTGTCCGGTCACCAGGTCTGTCGTCTAGTGTCCGGTCACCAGGTCTGTCGTCTGGTGTCCGGTCACCAGGCCTGTCGTCTGGTGTCCGGTCACCAGGTATATGACCTTCACCCGGACACTGTAGCTTGCAGGATATAACTGGATGATTCTATTATATTAGTGATTAGTTGAGTATTAAGGATAAAATAGGCTCCCGTGAATTACCTTGTGGAAATAGTGGACGATCCTCTGACGGGAGCAACATTTCCACAGACCCAAAGTAACTAAACCAATTTTCCTCATTTCCCTATGATCACTAAATCTTTATTTCCATATCGTCAAACTAATAAAATATTCTTGAGAATTTAAAAAAAAATTTCACTCTTCATTGTAAGGATGACAATGTAGGCAATGTTAATATTTTCAATACCTCTTATTCAAATATTCGATAGGACAAAATTTTATTTTTTAAACCCGTTATTGTTAGTTTCGTGAACTTGGGAGTCGCATCACACGTGTGTGGAGACCCGTAGGAGCCGTGACGAGGACTGCAACCTTATGGCGGTTGGTGCTACTACGCACTCGCCCTAGTCAACTAGGCCAGGGTATGGTATAAGGATTGAAGCCTGGAGTTCTACTGAACACACGAGGGTGTCCTGAGGCTTCCACTGAAGCCGGACCAGGATTCTCACACAATCCCCCCCCCCATGTACTCTGCCTGTCCCCCCATGCACTCTGCCTGTCCCCCCATGCACTCTGCCTGTCCCCCCATGCACTCTGCCTGTCCCCCCATGCACTCTGCCTGTCCCCCTATGCACTCTGCCTGTCCCCCTATGCACTCTGCCTGTCCCTCATGGACTCTGCCTGTCCCCCCATGCACTGGCTCCCCCCCCCTCATGCACTCTGGCTACCCCCATGCACTGGCTCCCCCCCCCATGCACTCTGGCTCCCCCCCCCCATGCACTCTGGCTCCCCCCCCCATGCACTCTGGCTCCCCCCCCCCATGCACTCTGGCTTTGTCACCCAGGATAGTTCTACCTCTGACGCTCCTCCTTCAATACACTGAGTAATTACACTATGTGATATATCAATGAGAAAAATTGACACATCACGTTAGTGTGATTACTCTGTGTGTATCACACGTGTGTTCCCTCACACCCATATTACAGCAACTTCATATGTGCATCACACACTCTTATCATCATCTCAATAACAAAATATTACAAAAATAAATGTATATATGTATTATATATATAAGCTGTATATCACACTACTGTGGATGTAACATTTCGTTCACCTTGGGCACTAGGTGTCTCGAACATCCAGCCTCATCCATGTGGGACACATGCTACCGACTCTACTATGGGTTAGCCTTAAGAGAGAACCATTCCAAGGCAGCTAACCGCTACCCAGATGGGACTTGCCTCTCTCCGTGGCTAGCACTCAAGCAAAAAACGACTAGGAATACCATGCCTATAAACTTATATATATATATATATATATATATATATATATATATATATATATATATATATATATATATATATATATATATATATATATATAAGTTTATATAAACTTATAATATAAGTCATATAAACTTCTATGGAGGTTTATATATATAGCCTTTTTTTAAGGCAAACCCACAGTACAGTGGGTAGAGCGTCCGCCTCTCAAGTCAAAAGACGGGTGTTTGAGGCCCAAGGTGAATAAAATGAGAGTCTTGTAAAGGAATGGAGGCTTTCGCACTGCGGTCTACACTATGGGAACGAACGTAGGAATATGTTTTAATGCTAAAAGTGTGTACCCTGACAGATACAAGAGTTGCCAATAGCTGTGTCAACCGCGCCCTCACACAGCTCTATTTGGAGAAGATTGACGAGGAACTCGCTACAGTAAGGCAGATCCTAGTCAATATTGAGTACTCCAAAGGATATGTCGAAGAGATCATTAAAGGGAAGGCGAGAGTCTCCATGCCACCTCTGACGAAGCAGGTAGCAGCACTACCGGTCTCCTACTATTAAAATATTTACAGGACTAACTTCTCCACGGCTCACAAAATATAAGAGAAAGTCCTGAAAAACATTATTGATAGAAATGTGACCCCCTACTGACACCATTCGGAAGATTGAACCAATAATAATATACTGTAAGAACAGTAGACTGTAAACTTGCTCACGAAAACTATCTGGACACCAAAGCCTCTTGAAAGAGACGAACGCTGTCTGTGCCTTCACATGCCCACTTGAGGACTGTCGGCCCCAATGAACTCAATATGTAGGCAAGACAACGCCATCATCCCTTTCAGGTGCTATCATGAAAATACCAAAATAATCGACATATACAGAGATAGCAGAAGACTGGACATCGGGGAGGCATTACACATCAAATCAAGCCATATTTCAACAGCCGATTAGCACCAAATTACACTCAGCCATCTTTGAAAACACGACATAACATACAATATTCTGCCCCAGCCATCATGGAAACGTAGGAGATTGGCAAGTTACAATGGGGCTATTGGCAGGTAAGTGTGGAGCTTCATCCTCACCTCATCCCCGGCCACACATCCTGCGGCACAAGAACTTGTAATCTCATGACCAAAGATCACATTCACTCCATGTTGTTGTTGTTATAGATTCAGCTACTCGGAACAAGTTCCAAGTAGCACGGGCTATGGTGAGCCCGTAATTTACCTAGCACAGGAGCAGGGCAAGTAGCACAGGCTATGGTTAGCCTCGTGGACGGGAGATGTCTATTCACTCCAAAAATCAACCACTTATAAGCTATTCATGCCCATGCCACCTCTTGGGTGGCTTAATCTTCATAAATCAATTAATTAATCAACTTATAATCATTCGGACTCTGCCTTTGATAATGTTAACAAGGGTTAACGAGATGCATGTCTTAGGATCGAGCCAAATAAAAGTGGAAAATGAGCTTTAGGAGTTAATTTTTAAACTTATTTTTCAAGTGAAGAAAAACATAAGACAAATAGAGAAGATTCGAGTTAGAATTCGTTAGAACATTCCGTAACACATTTAATTAATTTGACTATTGGATCTTACGTCATTTTGTCCTTGGTCCAGTCAAGCCTCCACGTGTGAAAGTTGTCAGAAAAGGAGTCATTCCTGCTTGTTTCGCTGGTACACGGCTCAGTCTCGACGGCTCTTTTAAGACAACCATTCTTGGTGGAGCTGTTAGGAGAATCATTCTTGGTGGAGCTGTCAGAAGAATCGTTCTCGGTAGTGCTGTTAGGAGAGATATACAAGTATTAATGAGAGGGTCCTCCGTTATAACGTTTCTACACTACCCCAAAATCTGTCTCATGATAAGAGACTTGGGATAAAAATCCTCACTTTTGTATATGTGAAATTTATGTAAAGAATTTACCCCAAGTCTTTCGCACACTCCTGAGTGCTTTATCGAGGTCTGAGTGTGTGATTAGGACGAGACTTACATCTCAACATCTGGACACACTCAGACCTTGACAAAGCACTCATGAGAGTACGAAAGACTTGGTGTAAATTCTTTATATAAATTTCACAAATATACAAGTGTGTTTTTATCCAAAGTTATTATGTCTGTGAGAAAACATTAACATTACTTAATTAAATATCAGATTGCTACTGCTCAGAAATGTTCTGCATTGGAATACATCATCAATAATAAAGATTGTGTCCCATGTAAGCAAGAAGTCCACCCTAACGCTTGCCATTAATCCTGCAAGTGATGCATTTTGTTGCACCTGGATTTTTTTTTAGGACTCTTAACCCTTCCACAGCTCCGTGCAGTTTTACGCTTCTTCCCGTCGTTGTCAGTCATTCTCCCACCTCTCCATATACATATTAGACTCTCTATATATATATAAGATTAGATTATATACATATCAGACGTAATCTCGTTGCCAAGGTTATTGTTGAGAACACAGGGCAATGGAAACCGCATGGAAGGGAAGACTATCTCAGCTTGTCCTCACAATCCACGCTGGAATCATAATAAAATTGTAGAAAATTCCTAGGCTAGTAAATTATTCCACTATTCATTAGAAAAGTGGGGACATAAATACGAGAGAAACTAACGAGGTTTTTGTGGTCGTCTTGGTATATGACGACGAGCAACCTACACGTTAATTTATGTTACACACTAAAATACTAACGTAGGAACTGTTATACTTATTACGCTCACTGATATCTTGTCTGCTTATTGTAGGAGTAGTTGATGGTCCATGACGTTCGCTGAGGCTGAAGGTCGGATTACGGGATAAATATAAACTCCTAGACACGAGAATTAAAAGCAGTATTGCCTGCTTGACCACGTTGTTCTCTCTGTAATGGCGTCCACGTTGCCAGCCTGTGAGTGCGCGTGGCAGAGTGACGCTCTCCTCCTTCCCCGGCGCGGATACGCATGCGCAGAACACTCCAAAGTGATCTCGAGCTTAAAGTATTTTATTTACTAGTAATTAATTAGGGAAGTAAGGAACCATGACAAGTACTGATGTCACGGATAAATATATTAAATCATAATACCTCTTCTCGCAAGGCAATAGGTTTAATTAACACTGCACAAATTAAACGAGAAGGGTCGACGTGTATTTATTTTACGTCACAGTAATATTTACTGATGTAATCAATCTGGTTATATGATCGAGTTCAGCACGCAAGGGTACCCGAATTAACTGTTGATAACATTACCAACAAAACGTGGAGGATTTCATGTTTGAGGTTGACGCTGCGTCCCGGCGCCCTGACGACTAGGAAGATCTGGCAAAATATTGTCTTACTATAGATACATTAATTATGTTAATTCTACGCATTAGTGATGTTAGTAAATGGTAATATTGGTAGCTAAAGGAGAATATACTGTTGGTTATTTCCAACAAATACTTATAGTGTAGCCTGCCTAACCATTTTCAAATCTGGTAGAGGCAAACGTCGCAGCGTAGATGACATTTTCGCTCCTAGAGAGAGAGAGAGAGAGAAGGCTGGGCTCAAGATGCTAGGATGTGAGAGATCATGATTGGATGTAAGATTAAAAAATTGACCAATCAGCAGGTGACCCAGTGTCACATGACCGAGAGTAGGGAGTAGCGAGGCTTCAGACACACACCTCAATGTTACATGAAACGTCGCAAAGACTATTACTTGTTATATGAAGCGGTAAGATGACCAAACCACACACCAGAAGATGAAGAGAACGACGACTTTTCGGTCCGTTTTGGACCATTATCAAGTCCTCACAGTCGAACTGATAATAGTCCAGGACGGACCAAAACGTCGTTTGGAAATCATCGGTGAGATACCATAGGTGGCTCGCTTACTGCCAGGTACACACCACCACAGCGCTGCCAAGTGTATCTGCAGCTTATACACACCTCTCTATCTGATATAAATACTATGGAACGTTGAGTGTTATATAGATTTTTTCAGTGGTTAGTTTATTGCACTGGATGCAGGTGTGTTGTGCACACTGAGGAGCTACACATGTGACGAAACGATACATTTGGCAAGAAATCTCAGCTCGGACTGAGTGACCTTGAAAACAGGCGCTGACCTTGAAAACAGGCGCTGACCTTGAAAACAGGCGCTGACCTTGAAAACAGGCGCTGACCTTGAAAACAGGAGCGCTTATGTGGAGCAGAGGCCTAACTCCATGTGCCCTGTTTCTTGGCAGTGGTTCTGCATGTATAAATAGTGTGTGAATTACTACTACTAATCCTGCATTATGATTGGAGTCCCTTTGCTGTGTGATTGATGTGTAACTCTGTGGTACGTGATGTGTGTGCAGCTGTGAACCTGCCCAGGCGACACTTGAGACATGGCGACTACTGCCTTAGAGACGGCAGGTGCTGCCTTAGAGACGGCAGGTGCTGCCTTAGAGACGGCAGGTGCTGCCTTAGAGACGGCAGATGCTGCCTTAGAGACGGCAGGTGCTGCCTTAGAGACGGCAGGTGCTGCCTTAGAGACGGCAGGTGCTGCCTTAGAGACGGCAGGTGCTGCCTTAGAGACGGCAGGTGCTGCCTTAGAGACGGCAGGTGCTGCCTTAGAGACGGCAGGTGCTGCCTTAGAGACGGCAGGTGCTGCCTTAGAGACGGCAGGTGCTGCCTTAGAGACGGCAGGTGCTGCCTTAGAGACGGCAGGTGCTGCCTTAGAGACGGCAGGTGCTGCCTTAGAGACGGCAGGTGCTGCCTTAGAGACGGCAGGTGCTGCCTTAGAGACGGCAGGTGCTGCCTTAGAGACGGCAGGTGCTGCCTTAGAGACGGCAGGTGCTGCCTTAGAGACGGCAGGTGCTGCCTTAGAGACGGCAGGTGCTGCCTTAGAGACGGCAGGTGCTGCCTTAGAGACGGCAGGTGCTGCCTTAGAGACGGCAGGTGCTGCCTTAGAGACGGCAGGTGCTGCCTTAGAGACGGCAGGTGCTGCCTTAGAGACGGCAGGTGCTGCCTTAGAGACGGCAGGTGCTGCCTTAGAGACGGCAGGTGCTGCCTTAGAGACGGCAGGTGCTGCCTTAGAGACGGCAGGTGCTGCCTTAGAGACGGCAGGTGCTGCCTTAGAGACGGCAGGTGCTGCCTTAGAGACGGCAGGTGCTGCCTTAGAGACGGCAGGTGCTGCCTTAGAGACGGCAGGTGCTGCCTTAGAGACGGCAGGTGCTGCCTTAGAGACGGCAGGTGCTGCCTTAGAGACGGCAGGTGCTGCCTTAGAGACGGCAGGTGCTGCCTTAGAGACGGCAGGTGCTGCCTTAGAGACGGCAGGTGCTGCCTCAGTGGCCTCACACCAGAGTGCTAGTACATCATGGGGTCCACACGAGGAAGATACAAGCATGTTATCTCTCACAGTGGAGTCAAATGCTGGACAGGAGGAGCCCAATAGTGACGAAAGTCCTTGGACAACTGTTGAGACTCGGAGAAAGACACGAGGAACCAAAGAGTTAATAAATCGTAACCATGAGAAGAAAAGAACCAACCTGTATTTTCCTCCGGGCACGGGAACTGGAATGAAATATGCATGGTTGGCTGAGGCAGCCAAAACACACCCTGGTGGTGGGTATTGGTTGACGAATGGACATGCGAACCATGTCCATGTGAACTTTACTGAAGAGATGGTACAATATTTCTGTACTTGAGAGCTTGCTGGTATAACAATGAGGAAACCACCACCGCCTGCTCATACCCACAGGACACCTGTCATCATTTTTAGGCTGGACCTCTACCAGGATCACACACTGGTGGAACAGCATGATCACATCGTCAATGCGAAAAGAACAAAGGGCAGAGAGACTATTCTCGCCCACTGGACCAGCGACGAGTCTCCGCTGGAAAGATTTACTGTCCCAAGTGCTTATCGGCAACTAATAATGAAGGTTTACAAGCCTCCCAGACGCAGGTGTTACAAGTGCCAACGGTGGAATCATGTTGCAAGAAACTGTAGGAATGATGAGCGGTGTGGCCACTGTGCCAGAAAGCACGCACCATCTGTGTGTGATGCAAAAAAAGGGAAATGGAACAAAGAAACTGAAGTGTGCCAACTGTCACATGGAGGGAGTTCCCGCCTGGCATGAGGACTGTGCTGCACTCCCGGCAAGACGGGCTGTCCGGGGTACACCAGCAGGGGGCGCCAGTAACCACCCTGGCTCATCTGCGGTGCCACTACCGGTCACTCAGTCACTCTTTCCTACCTTACCCAACCACTCCAACGCCTCAGCTGGTAGCTCGAGTGACGCACTTGTAGTCCCTACCAATACATGTCGGTCGGGGGGCCCAGATCAGGCACAGAAAATTGTTGAGCTTATGAATACAGTAGAAAAACAAAACAAACTCACGGGAACGCTGAACAAGCAAATAACTGAACAAAGCAAGGAAATCATGAACCAAAAGCTGACGATAACCACTCTTCAGGACACTGTGAGAGTATTAACTGAGTGCAGGCCACACCAACCTGGGGTACCACCATGTGCTCCCTGGCGGCCAGCATCCCTGGGAGGACCCCAGCTGGGGGTGTCCCAGCCCTCACGCCAGCTGGGCTCTCCCACCCCGGCTCCCCACACCCCAGCCTCATCAACGCCGTGCACTATGAACAGAGGTCAACTATTTCACGTAGAAACGCATAGTGCTGTCGATGTGTATTAGGATGCAACTTATCCTGATGATGAACAAAGTGACACTGAGGGTGAGAATTTTAATGAAGATGAAGATCATGATGTAGATACCGGGTCTAATAAACTCTGTTTGAAGGAAAATAGTAGTGGAAATGATGAA